TCCTGTAAGTCGCTCTGGATAAGAGCGTCTGCTAAATGACTAAAATGTAAATGTTAACATGGACACAGCACAACCCCCCCATGTAACGAAGACCCCCTCATCTCTCTCTTGCTCTCTGTCTCTCTCTCAACCTCGGGTGGCTGTAGGACTATGGAGGAGGAGGAATTCATATTTTGTCTTCCTTTGAAGAATCCTGTCTCCCTTAGCTGAGGCTTATCACTTAATACAAATCCAACCATCATTAGTATGTGGCAATTAAACTGCCTATTTCCAAAAAGGCATATTAGATTTTAATTGACTCGTCCCATTTTTGTCCCGTTGTAAAATATTAGCTTCCCCACTCGACGTCGACAAATCCGTTACTTATCAATTTGACTCCACATTGAGGCAGCGTAATGACAGTTGTGAAATAACTATTTTCTTTTGTGTGATGGAAAGGCTCTCAAATATTAATGTGGACCCTGTTTCCCTTGTAGCAAATGAGATGTACATATTAATGTACTGTAGAACCTCAACAGAGAAAATAGATGTGCAGTGTACAAAAGCTGGTATTTCAATATCACCCAGAATGCTTCACTATTTCTGCCAGATAGTTTATCATTGATTAATGATAATAATTATGAAATGATGTTCAATAATTGACTTAATATTGACTTGGTTCCTTATTTCTACTGGCTAGTCCAACTGACCTATCTTCATAGTGCTTCACGTGTGTGTGGGGTGGGATACAACAAAGAAAGTATGAATGTATGCACTCACTACTGTACGTCGCTCTGCATGAGAGCGTCTGCTAAATTAATACCATTAAAAAAATTATTATTACAATTATTTCTGCCAGATAATTGTATCATGTTAATCAATGATAAACAATGTTCAATAATTGACACACAATATTGACTTGGTTCCTTATTTCTACTGCCTAGTCCTACTGACCTGTCTGGTCCGTGGGTTTGACTTCCTACAGAACATCTCTCAAAACTGACCCACAATGCCTCTGGATTGGACACAGTTAATGTTCAGCTGTTGCTTTCACCCATTAACCCACTTACCCAGCCATTAACCCCCAGTTCACCCTAAATCATATGAAACACTCCCTTTTAGAAAGTATAGGGAAGACTTTGATTCTACCGTATGAGGATATCAGTGCGTGTTCTGCCTGTGTGGGATACAAGGATATGAAAACCCCTGGCAGTCTTATGTTTTTTTTGGAAGAAGCAGAGATTCCTGCGCTGTATCAATAAACCCAGAATATGAGAGATCACGTTCCTGAACACGCCATGTTACTGGGATCGGGATATAGAGGAAGAGGCTTCTTTATGGACTGACTAGGGATGGGAACTAGCCTCTTGTCTCCACACATCTGTGCCTTTATAGCCTAGCCTCACCCCTACATGGGATGTAGCCTTACTTCTGACTTCTCTGTGGTTTGGTTTGAAGTCCTGGGCCTGGCTTGCACATTATGCAAGCCCATCTTACCACTTGTTCTTTACAGTGATGTTAAAATGTGACATAGTGAGTGGAGGCTGCTGAGGGGAGAACGGCTCATAATAATGGCCGGAATGGCGCAAATGGAATAGCATCAAACATATATCAGAGGAGGTTGGTGGCACCTTAATTGGGGAGAACGGGCTCATGTTAATGACTGGAGCGGAATAGGTGGAATGGTATTCCATGTGTTTGATGCTATTCCATTTGCGCCGTTCCGGCCCTTATTATATTTATTTATTTATTTATTGTGTCTTTGTCCATAACCTGTCATGGGATATTTACTTTTGTAAGTCCTCCATAAAAGCCCTCATAGGGAGGAGTCCAAGACCTGGCAAATGTCTCTCTCCCACCACTCAGAGGGTTGAGCCCCCTTCACTAAGCCAACAATAATAAACTTCCCAAAGTATCTAATCAATGTACTTCTATGGATGGAGTGCTTTTTGCCTTGTTTCTACAGCTATATCTTATCTCAAATCAAAAGTGAAAGTGTATTTCATAATGGTTTCACTACCTGCTGAGTGACTTCTAGAATAGAGGATAGGTTATGGCTCCTGCGTGGCTCAGTTGGTAGAGAATGGCATTTGCAACACCTGGGTTGTGGGTTCGACTCCCACGGGGGACCAGTACGAAAAAGTATGTACTCACTATCGTAAGTCGCTCTGGATAAGAGCGTCTGCTAAATTACTAAAATGTAAAATGATGTGGCGCTATGTCCGGATGTACTATCCATGATGGATTGGAATAGATTAACAGTTAACCACCTTCTATTCAAGCAAAACATAGTCCCACAGTATGCAAAGGTTTTTAATCTGTAGCCTACTTCCTAACACTAAAGTAGACTGATGACCAAATAATAGAGCTATGCATGTTTCCAGAGCAGGGAGTGGTGCTACAATAGGAAAATACAAGGATCTGGCCAACAGAGATGTTGTGTCAGAATGGGTGTGCCCACCATTAACACCCTGCCAATAGGGAAGACGGACAGACAGACAGTATTGTGCTCTCTCTGACACAGGAAGACAACATGTTGATTTGATGTTGTTAGATTAACACAGGTGTTGGGCTAGAACAACCCCTATAATAACATAAATATGCACTCAATGACCTGGTTCAGTTGATAACAATCAAGGCCAGAAGAAAGCCTGGTATATTTGTATTTTGAGTGAACTGTGCCTTTAAGATCAGAGCAGAGGGTCATTTTGTTGTAGTGTTCCATTGACCTTTCTCAGTAGAGCAGGAGAGTGACAGTAGAGTGGTACTTCCTGAATGACCACATTCCATTTGATCACATTAGCCAAGTCAACACACCAGCCAGTAGGGAGAGAGAGATGGACCCCTCCCTTTCTCTGTTGTCATTCGTGGTCGTGGAGTTTGTGTTTCTTTACACAGTCACACAGCATGGGAAAGAAGGGAGGGACTTGAAGGAAACAATACACACCGTTTTGGACATTTGTAACATTTGTTTAAAACGTTAACAGGTAGGAGCATCTCTTGTTTCTATGTTTCACTGTGAGATTATGTTGTCAGTACAATTCACAGTAGGTTATAGGCGTTACTTTCAGCAGGAATTGCACTGTATTCCAACTGACAGCTCAGTAACTTGTAAATGAAGCACATGTTAGATATTGAAAATCCACTAGATATTGAATCCTACTCATTGTTCCATTGAACAGTGTGTGTGTATGGCATTATATCTACCGGTATGTAAATGTGAAACGATTTTCTCTTGGAAAACCTCCTCTCTCCATTCTGTCTTCTTTGTTTACCTGCCTCAGTTACAATCTCTCACAGACCAAAGTGCAAAGAAGTGTGTGAAAATGTCTCTGAGGATTTGATTCGCTAACAATAAACTGTTACTTCCTTTCACCTTTTTTGTTTCATAGTGAGGTAAAAATGTTACATTTACATTTTGAGTCGTTTAGCAGACGCTCTTATCCAGAGCGACTTACAGTTAGTGCATTCATCTGAAGATAGCTAGGTGGGACAACCACATATTACAGGCATAGAAAGTACATTTTTCCTCAATAAAGTAGCTATCAGTAGAGTCAGTAACATAAGTTTGAGGCAGTAGCAGATGGCAGATTGTAGGTGTGGCATTAGACATTGTAACAGATGTATTATATTGGTTGTAAGAGAATGAGGCGACGGCGTCAGGTCTTTAGCAGGATGCTAACAAAAATGAGTATCAAAATATTAAGATGGCTTAATGGAATGATCTTTAACACAAAGGGATGCTAATAACCTCATATGACCTACTTGTCTTATTTATTTGAGCTCCTATGGCGCAAAGGCCTCATATACACTCCTATACCCTCGTATAGTCAAATGAATTGAAATGTTAGCTTAGCTGCTGTGCTCTGTGGATCACTAGCCACTAGCCAGTCCACCTCTCTGAGAGCTCCAGTCTTGGCACTCAGTCAGATCATCTATTTTTGAGTCTGAAAACCAGGTCACTGGTTGAAAGTCAAGGAAGGAAATAATGCAGGTAATTCAAGTGTATTGTGTGACTTTGAACCTGTGATCAATTGATCTAACTTCAGAGACAGAAAGGGGGTTGGCTACAGTATAGTTGTACTGTGATATTGGGCCTCAGTAATACACGCTTTAAGAATTACAAGATGAAAATCTAGCCAATGATCAGTATCTCAAATACATACAGCTAAATCTTAAAGCTGATGACATAACTTTGGAATGATATCTGTTCAGTATCTTTTGGAAGTTTTCATATATGGAAATAAGACATGACACATTTATGACAACTTATGGCATCTGTACAGCATGTCCTTGGTGAATGCTCGCTCCATCTGAAACAGCTTTTGTCAAAATTTACTTTTTGTAGCAGGTTTAGGAGTACTTGCGCCGCAGGTTAGGAGAATTAACGTAGCAGTTTAAGGGAACTAGGTTAAGGTTGGGAAAGGGTTAGCTAAAATGCAAAACAATTACACTTTTGACGTCAACTTGACAAAAGCTGTATTCCGTCTAGAAATGACCCTGAAATGTCAAGTGTCCAGAATCAGCCATTGAATGTGTGGAATTTTAGAATGAGGAAGAACCATTCTTTCCATTTCATATTGCTCATGGTCCCCTATTTACATATGATTTTCTTTGAGATTGTAGCTATACAGATCATGGTTCAGATATAATGTCTGGACTAATGAAATAAAGATGAGGGCAATAACAAAACAATTATTTGTGTTTAGAAATGTTTTTTTTTTTTTTTATGCTTTTCTATTTGCATGTCAATGCTTTTGCTATTTGCATGTCAATGTCATTCTTTGTAACTGGTTGATCAAGAACAGACTAGAATGTTGAGCCAGCTGAGTCTAGTTATTCACGTTTTTGATGAATGGCAAGACAGTATGCAAAGTCCATAGTTATTTTGTTCACTTGTCCTGTGTCGTGTTGTACCTGCAGCTTACTTTGTTTGTATCTAAAATGAGGGTATTTTCTTAGTTAATGTATTTTTCATGTGACAGTTTAAAATAAAATGCTGGTTACTTTTCTTTTCAGATCGAACAGAGAGAAATAAGCCTGAGGCTTTTCATTCCAGGTAAGTCATGCATATCATTGAATTACATCTTTTCATGTGCATTTTCAAGGGCATTTTCAATATGTCTGTTCTGCTCAGTACAGAGAAGGAAAAGTGTTAACATTGTGATAATGTTGCATGTTCCAGAATAAACCCTAGGCTGTTACAGCTATACCTAAACACCTCTGTTGCTCTACGGTTCTGTCAGGACTGCAGTGGCCAGAACACTGTCTCTTTAACAGGCAGTTCTGCTGATGGAGAGGTTGTGAATGGTGCAGAGCAGCAGACAATGCACTGATCCATCCTCTTTGACAAACCGTCGGACACTGTGTCTACTGTGTCCGAAGGTCAGAGCTTTTTGAATGGGGGACAGAACCACACTGAGTCAGTTGTTGTTGACGCCCCCAGAGCCAAATAGGTTACCTTCCAGGGTTAGGGTCAATTCCATTTCAATTCAGTCAATTCAGTAAACTGACTCCAACCCTGTAACCTTTCTTTCACAACATGGTATACCCTACCTAGACAACTCCATTAAAACTCAGCACCTTTTCAATGTCTTCCAATCCAATCCAGTAGGAGGCTAGTGAGAGGATCTATAGGAGGACGGGCTCATTGTAACGGCTGGAATGGAATCAATGGAACGGAGTCATACATGGTTTCCATATGTCTATGTTTTATACCGTTCCATTTATTCCATTCCAGCCATTACAATGAGCCCATCCTCCTATAGCTCCTCCTCCCACCAGCCTCCTCTGTTAAAGTAACGCAAACGTCAACGTGTTCCCATACAAACCTTTTTTTAATCAACTATTGGACGTTTAACGTCATATTGTTCTATTTGTTTATGGGCTTAGCTAATGGTCCTAATTAACCATGTAGTAATGTGGTGGGAGAGGCAGGGGGGAGCTGTCTTTCTCTCCAGATGGTTTACATCTCATCTCCAGTTCAGTTAATGAGCAGGATGTGTTAAAGGTTCTGGGCCTATGGGGGTCTGGTCTGGATCGTGTTCATTAAGCACCATATGGAAACAGAAACCGGGAAGGACTATCTGGAATTGTCCAATAAGACATTTTCATTTTCTGTTGCAAAATGTTTAAAAAACATATTCCATTGTGTGCCCTAATGAACACGACCCCATTCTGTCTTTTTCTTCTTTCTCCCAGGTGAGACTGTGTAGTTGGCCCTTCTGGGAACATATTCTGGCACAGCCTGGGAGTGGTGCGGCGTCAGCTCCAACACTACACTAGTCAGGAAGTCAGATCAGAGCTGTGAAATCAGATCAGCAAGAGGGGGGTCGTTATATTGCAGAAGTGCACTTTTGGACACCACACCTGGCTTGGCAGATGTATGTGGAGGATGAAGTGTTAGACTGAGTCATTGTTATAGTAACAGACGGACGATGCCTAAGGATATTCAGTGGATTGGATCTGTGTCCTGCTGCGTTTAAGGGTTTTCTGCAGAGGGATTGTGGAAAGTTGCAAGCAGGGTTGAACTCTCTTCAAAGGGCTGGCTTTTTAATGATCGTCCTCTTTCTTGTGCCTGCGTCTCTGGTACTTGTCCCATTCTCTCTCTGACTGCTGGTGTTCACAGGCGCATGTACCTGAGGTAGGCTTTTCTTTTGGTTGCAGTATTCAGCAGTAGCTGTGTTGTGTAGATTGGAGTTGATGATAGAGTGGGAGAGAGGATGTGGCTGTCACAGTGGCAACTGCAGTGCAGAGAGGACCACTGCAGCTAAAGAGGTTTGATGCAACTATCAACACTGTTGTTATCAGCCTTTGGTGTTACTCTGCACTTAGTCAGGTCTTTCAGAGGTAAAGGGCTATATTTCATCTCTTTACTTTATCATATATGAAGTCTAGGTTACCTATGGATGACAATTGAATGTTTTTAAATGTCAGGAGCATTTGCTGAGATTGTATTTATAATTTTGTTGAGAAATCCTCTGTCCTGGTTCAACCCTATAAAAGTGGCTGGTTGGCGTGTGGATAATTAGCGCTATCTGTCCAGTGCAGTCATCTGGTGGAGTCTGACTGTTGCCAGCATTACACTTTTGCTTTGTCAGGTTGTATAAATGTAAGAAATCTTATTTTCCAGTCAAACTCTCCTCTCCTCAATGGTAACTCTTCTCTCTTCCAGCCAAGGACCTCTGTCCACAATACGAGCTGCCATCAAGAGAAGTGAGTTTCTCATTATTGAGTTTGTCGATTATTTCATTATTTGGTATATTCTCATACTTTTATATTGTACCTAGCGTGATTAAAGTCTGTCTATAGCAGAGGAGCCTGGTGGGAGGAGCTATAGAAGAACAGGCTCATTGTATGGCTGGAATGGAATAAATGGAACAGAGTTAAACATGTGGTTTCCATAGGTTGATGTATTTGACTCCGCTCCATTAATTCCACTCCAGCTATTACAATGAGCCCGTCCTCTTATAGCTCGTCCCACCAGCCTCCTCTGGTCTATAGCTGTTGTACATGATTGAATCCCCCAAGTGTTTTTTTTATGTCTCTTTCAATCAATTACATATCAGATTGAAAGAGATGAAATTCATATCATTTTCTCCCACAGCGAGAACCAGCACCCAAAGTGAACAGACCAGAGACAGAAGGTAAACAGAGGAGCTTCATAATACTTCCATAGTCTGTTTGTATCTCTCTGATTGAATACAGTTCTACACTCATTGTTCCAAAAATCCAACACCATATGCTCCACAGTAAAGAGCACCAGGGCAAAGAACTTGTGCTCTACAGTACAATACACATTTTCCATTTGAAATGTACTGATATTAATGTTGACTTACAGTCCTCGACTAAACTGGTGAATAACCATCAAAGAAAGTAATATGGTCTATAAAATGGCATACAAAAATAGATAAAACAAAAGGCTTATGGTGTTAAACAAAGCAATATCATTATTTATGACAGAAGATGATGGCTACATAAGGCTTTCTGTCAACATAAGACAAGTGTCAACATTATGCCGCATGTCACGTTTGGTTGACGTACTCTAGTTGCATTGTGGGTCATTTACCTGTTTTGTCTTTCAGACGTCCAGAGATCACCATCCTGTCAGCCGAGCCGCTCGCCGCCAACGGCTGGTTCCCAGGGGCTTCTGGGGGATTTACGGCAGCCCCGCCTCCCTCCCAGCCCATCTGGGGGGGCAGCATCCAATCAGAAACCCAGGTACTGTTTATTTAACTAACATCAGCCTCTAATACTACGGGAGACAGCAGGGTGTGTGGTCTTGTCCTGTTCACAGTTTGGGTGTGTTCTGCATGGATTCTAACTTGGATTTTGTCTGATCAACCTTACCATGTTCCTGTGTCTTTCACAGTTGTCAGTGTAATGTTTCAGATGAACTACTTTCAAAGCAAACACATAACATTTGGCAGTGAAACAAGCACGGCAGGTTCTGCATGTTGTACTACTATAGGATGTCAATGTAGGACGGTAGCAAGCTTGCTTGTAGAATACAAGTTATAATAATCACACCGCTACACGTTTACTTTGACAACATGAGTGTGTGATGTGTGTGTGTGTGTGAACCTTCTCTCTCGTGTCTTAGCCCCCACCATCCTATGACCAGGTGATCAAAGAGAAGACCCAGGAGACCGTTGTCACGCCGACCGCCACCCCTCGGAGATCCACGACCATCGCCACCCAGACCGACCCTGTGGAGGATGACGCCGCCGCTGGCCCAGAATGCACTGCAGCCTCACAGCCAATCGAGAAGAGACAGTCAACAGGTGAGACTTTTGAGAATGATGACTATAGATGGGTTAGCTGACAACGTCACGAAAACTCTGTAGTTGGCATATCATATCCTTGAATTACTACGACTAAAACAGTGTAACGTCACTTTATATTCAATTTTTCATTATGTTTTTTATAAGTGGTTTGAGTATAGGCTAAACGTATTGTTTTTAATCTCTTCCTTCTCAGTGAAAATAAAGCCTAAAAAGCCACCAAGGCCATACTTACCCAAGCCTTTACAAAGTGACTCTACCACTGCAATAGCTGTATCTGATTCTAGTCTCATCCAAGTAGACGCCACAGCCACTAACACTGAGAACCAAACTGACCCCAAGTCAGCCGCAGCCCAAGCCAGCCCAATAGATTCCAGCTGTACAATCCCAAACACGCGGTCTCTCTCTCCATCTGTTTCTGTACAATGGGATGTGCCAATAAAACCTTCGGAACCCAGCACTATCACTACGTTCTTAGAACCTACAGTCCCCTCCTCATCAGTCCCAGTAGCCACTGAACGTCCCACCCCTCTTCCTCGTTCCAAATCTCACAAACAGCCAATCACAGAGGAGGTCAAAGTTCAGACTCTGGTCAGGCTCAATGGTTCCAGCTCTGTAGCTGACACAGCAGGTCGAGGCTCCTCCCTCGGGGAAGTACCTACAGGAACTATTAGATGTGTTTTGTCTCGAGAACCAATACGACCAGAACACTAGTGACGCTAGTGACTATCAGACGCCAACTGACGGGAGCGACCAAAGCGAGGAAGGTGACGAGGACGGTGACATGGCCGCCCTTCACAGCCAACGTAACATCCGGGCCCGGATCCAGGCCTTTGAGAGCCAGGAGGGCGATGGGGAACCAGAGTTCAAACGACCAGAGCCTCTACCCAGGAACGCGCACCTCAAGCCCCCTGTGATTTCAGCCAAACCAGCCCCAGCCCTGGCCCCCAAGCCCTCAATCAAGAAGCCCAGTAACGGGAATAACTACCAGGGGGCGATCTCCATTTTCTCCACTCCCTTTATTCCCTCCAACCCAACCCCAGCACCCAGACCCGTGCTCCACAGAAAACCCAGTGTAGTCCCAGAACCCAAGGAACCAGAACCAGAGGCTCCATCCCCCACCAAGACAGCCATCCTTTCCCGGTCGCGGCTCTCCATAGCGGCCAGAGCCATGAGCCTCTTCCCCCAAGAGGAGGATGAACCCAGGTTGGTACCTCCTATCTCTCCAGAGAAGCCTCGCAAGGAGCTGCTGGGCCTCAACCTCAACAACCACAACTCAGCCTCCATCACCACCACAGAGGCAAGGAATGAATACATGGACAACCCCACGAGTAAGTACAGCAGCATGCATTTCACCACAGACATAATTGGTTAACTTAGTAGTATGAGTGTTCTAAGGATAGTTATAACACATATAAGATAATTATAACCCCTTTTATTGATGCTATTTTACACAAAAAAACGTCACTAGCCTGCAGTTGGCATTAAAGGTAGCTTAGAATTTGTCATATCGTACTTATGCAGGACCCATATGTTAACTAAAAATGATGAGTCAACACTGGCCATCTCTGCCTCTCTCCAGACCATATCCCAGTGAAGCCTGTGCGTAGTGATGTGGGCGGCAGTGGCTCCTTCACCAGACAGAGTGTAACCAGAAGACCCACCACCATTAGAGTGCCCAGTAAAGGAAAGCGTGAGTCCACCTGCTCTACTCTCTGACCTATAAAGGAGTAGTGAGTTATGTGGAGTGCTCCATATCCACACATGTATGACCTAATATAAAGGCCCTTTGATCTCCATCTGGATCTACCAAAAATAAAAGGTTTTGACATAACCAAATGATGGATTAGATGCCATTGAATTTTTGCTGGCGAGCCATTTTCTCAAACAAACTGTAGGTGTGTATGTTTGAATATGTGTGTGTCTGTGCTTGGGTGTCTTAGTGAGTGTGTACAGTCGACTCCTGATAAGTGAGTCAGTTAATCCGGATTTCAATACTTTATTTACTCCAACATGTAGTTCGAGTGCATGTTCCATCTCAAAGCGTTCATTCATGGCAACACCAAGCCATTGAGTTAGTGCAAAAATACAATAATCCCAAACCCTTGTACAGTTTACAGTACAGTGTGTCCAGTCTAAACATTGATGGTTTTCTCTCACAGTGTTCGATGGGACTTTGGACATCCCTCCTCCTCTCCCTGCACAGAAGCCTGTGGGGTCACAGCCATCCCCCGTGACCTTTAAACAAAGCATCTCAAGCTTCTTCCCCTTCCAGGTAAGCGCTACCACCTTCCTTCCCATTCTACTTCTCCAACAGAAGTACTATTGATCTACAGTAGGCTACCTACCTTCTCTTCTACTACTAGAAAACACAAGAGAGTACTGACAGTTTAGTTCTTCCTCCTCACCACCACAATACTGCACTCTCTTTGGGGAAGCCAGAGCCAGTCAATAGCTCCCGGCCCGGCTTGGCTATGACATAACTGGGCTTTTGTGCACCAAGAAGGCTTAGCTAAAAGGACAAAGTGCTACTTTGTATTTTTCTTTAGCGTCACTCACGATTATCTAGAGTCAGTTCATTCATGGTGGCCTGAAAACCAGCCCTGTCAGAAGCAGTGCTAAACCAGCCTGACAAACCAGCCTTTTACCTGCCAACCGCCCACATTCACCTCCACTCAAATTCACCTCCACACAAAGTGGCCAGTGTAGTTTAAACAATGACTGGCTAGTACTGTACAGCTAGCTGTTAGCAGTGGCTAAGGAAAGGCACATTGAGCAGTCATTAACTTGGTTGCCGTAGTTGCTGAGCGCTGCGAAGGTAGTAGGCGTAGTAAGTCTGTTTTGTTCAGGGGAGGTCATTCAATCCCATGTGGTGTTAAATGTGATCTGGGAGAGATTAGAGAAGTACCCTGGTTGTCATCAATTCACATCTGTTTTTTAGACAGCCACGTTGCTTCTTTGAACATAAATAGTAACTACCTTTTTTCTGTTGATTTGAACTGTAGGAGTCCTTTGATTCTGAGCCCATACCGGGCCTGCCTCCTCGGTCAGTAACATCACATCGTGGGTCATTTTAGGGGATAAAGAGGGGTAAAGATCCGTTGATAACATATTAGCTACAGTCCTAGACACATGGCTTTAATTAACTTCATACTGCTGTTGATCTCTTCCAGGCCTGGTGGAGCTAAGGTCCTCCCTCCTCGCCCACCTCCAGCAAAAGTTGGCCCAGGAAGGCCACCCCCACCCCGGATAAATGGTCCACGTCAACCCTCTCCACCCGTAGAGCACCAGCTTCATCAGCAGCTCCATCACCCAAGCAGCCCCAGGCTCAGAAGACCAAGAGGAAGGGACCTGTGCTTCCCCCCAGGCCCAACCCTGGCCACCGTCTCTACAACCAATACACGGTGAGAGCTTAGAGTTCCCACCCCGCTCTGCTGCTGCCCCCAAGGCAGCCTGCTCTGCCCCTGCTGCCCCCCAAGGCAGCCTGCTCTGCCCCTGCTGCCCCCAAGGCAGCCGCTCTGCCCCTACTGCCCCCAAGGCAGTCTGCTCTGCCCCTGCATGCCCCCCCAAGGCAAGCCAGCCTCTGCCCCTACTGCCCCCAAGGCAGCCTGCTCTGCCCCTACTGCCCCCAGGCAGCCTGCTCTCCCTGCTGCCCCCAAGGCAGCCTGCTCTGCCCCTACTGCCCCCAAGGCAGCTTGCTCTGCCCCTGCTGCCCACAAGGCAGCCTGCTCTGCCCCTGCTGCCCCCAAGGCAGCCTGCTCTGCCCCTACTGCCCCCAAGGCAGCCTGCTCTGCCCCTGCTGCCCCCAAGACAGCCTGCTCTGCCCCTGCTGCCCCCAAGGCAGCCTGCTCTGCCCCTGCTGCCCCCAAGGCAGCCTGCTCTGCCCCTGCTGCCCCCAAGGCATGTTGGATTTCAGTGGAACTGTTGTGTACTGTAGTAGTGGCAAGTGTCACATGGTAGGCCAGTGTATGTTTTCTGAATGTTTTCTTTGTCATGTGTGTTCCTCTAGCTTGGACTTCCCCATGGGATAGCAGAGTTTGACTACAATGGGAGAGACACAGGGGAACTCTCATTCCAGGTAAATCATTGTCTGCATGTTTTGGAGGTTTTGCTTCTAGCAACAACAAGAACATGGTATGAGACAATGTTACTGACTACTGTATTTAAACCTGATTCGATCACTAGTTTTATGGATTTACTTATTTCACCTTACTGTTTTGTAATATGTTTTTCTCTAAGGAAAAGACGATTTAGTAGAAATGAATAACAACAAATGCTTCTTGATTTTCTCCCACAGAAAAATGAGTTGCTGCTGCTGGTCGAGCAGCTCGACCACAAGACCTTTGAATGTCAAGTGGGAGACATCCGGGGCCGAGTCCAGAAGTCTCACATGAAAGTCATCACTCCTCTCTCCAGTGCCCCAGCTAAACCAGCTCTGTCACAGGTAATGTCTTCAGCCAGTGACAATGAGCTGTCAATCAAAACATGTCTGTCCTCTTACTACCGCCAGGCAACTTGGCTACCCTCTATTTAGTATGTCTAGCACCAATTGGTTTGTATTTCTTTGTAGCCACATACAGTATGAACTTTCATTGTGAACCTTGAAAATTATTTTTTAGTTAAGTCTCTAAATCCCTCTTTTTGTATGTGTTTCTTTAAATTCCACATACACCTGGATGTGTTTTCTCTTCTTACAGGGTGCCAGCCCAGTTGGGTCTCGTAGAGGCAGCAGTGGTCTGCAGGTGCAGGTCCTCCATGACTTTACCCCAGGTACAGAACAGTACCTACACTGGCACACTGACCACCACAACACACAACCTAACAGGTCTCCTATGTCCTATACCAACAAACACAGCTGCTATTGGACTGTACACCTTAGAATGTTTTAAGTCATTTATTAGATGTCAAATAAATTCCAATATGGCTGGCATGTTTTTATAGCTATGCTTAGTTCTGTTTTTCCCCCAGCAATTGATATCCACAAAGTAGAGTTCATGCTGGAGTTTGTGTTGTCAGTTGGTGTCAGCAGTGGGATTTGATTGACATGTGTTGTATCCTATCCAGAGGGTCCAGGGGAGCTGGGTCTGAGGGCGGGGGATGTGGTGACCAATGTGGAGCAGGTGGACAGTGAGTGGTACCGCGGCTCCTGTAGAGGCTCCTCTGGCTTCTTCCCTGTCAACTACGTCAAAGTTATGGTAAGACTCCAGTCAATGTTTCAGCTATAGAGATAGGGCTGGTTTCCAACTCCAAGACTTAAGCCTACTCCTGAACGAAAAACTGTTGAATAAATCATCTCTATTTAAAGTATTTTGTGTGAGAAACCAGCCCATAAAGTGATCTATAGGATGTATACAAAAGAGTCCAGCTATTTAATGTGTTTTGATTATGACTCTTTTTCTCTATTTAGTCAAATGCACCAACACCGACCAATGCAAAGAAGGCAAGGCCCCCGCCTGCAACAGTCAGTGGGCCGAGGTGTGTGGCACGGTTCGACTTCGAGGGTGAGCAGAGTGACGAGCTAACCTTTTCTGAGGGAGACGTGATTCAGCTAAAGGAGTACATGGAAGAGGAGTGGGCGAGGGGACAGATAGGGGCCCACACTGGAGTCTTCCCCATCAACTTTGTGGAGATCATAGAAGATCTTCCTCCTCCTCCACAACCAAGACGACAGCAATCATTCCCAATCAAGATGGCACTACCTGGTAGGACTTTTAATTTAAGGCCCACTTCTTAGCTTGAAAATGGAATATACTTTATATTAATTTACATATCACAGACTGGACCTTTAAATCATTAAGGAACCTCGGCTTGAGATATGTGTGCCTATCTTGACATTGTAAACATAATCAGAGAATTGGAGACATTGGAATTTTCCCACGGAAGTTCATGTCATTCTGGCATACTGTATCTGAGGTCATAGTGTAAGATCAATGTCAAAGGTGGCAAGGCCACAAACACAGTGAAATATTTATTCTTGGCACGGGGGGATTTTAGCTGTATCGTCACGTTTCCTGTACCCCTGTTGCGGTTTGTCCACCAATACAAAGGGTTTCTCTAGAACTAGTCTACAGTGGACTGCCTCCACCGCTCTCATATTTAGTAGGCTGATACTTCCCTCTGTGGAATGTATACAATCTGTGCAACATGTTTGTTTCATTAAGTCAGGAGCTCTGTGTAAGCCCCTGTACTAAGACCTTATTATTAATACGATCCAGCTCACTCTGTGTGCTACGTGTTGTTCTCACTGGCTCTAGCAGTGTAAAGTAGCATAGTGTACTACTGTACGCCCACACACTCATTCCCCATTCACTTTTATGTTCAGCAACTGTCAACACAATATGCTTTCTATCTGAATACCAATACTGCATTTCTCAGGCATGGTTTCTTCAACCAAGACCCAAGAGGCTGCCAAACCCATACAGGTATGGTTCATGTGGTACTGTTACCAGTCTTTACAACATGACACAAACTAACGTCATGATACAGCTGTTTGTGTCTGGGGTAGCCTAATGACGTCTGTGTGTATATCCAATGATTAGAGCTTGTGTATGAGAGCGGGAGTTTGAGAGGGTGTCCACTAACATGTACTGTATATCCCTGTCTATAGTGTGGTTGGTCAGGAGTGGAGTGGGCCGTGGCTCTGTATGACTTTGTAGGCCAGACAGAAGAGGAACTGTCCTTCCAACAGGGAGACCGTATCCTGGTCACAGAGCATGTAGACGCCGAGTGGTGCTCTGGAAGGCTCAACGGTAGAGAAGGATTCTTCCCCACAGCCTTCGTAGAGACCAGCTCAGGTAATAATAGGGCATTCTTATGGCGCCATCTTGTGGTAGAAGGTCAATTGTGCACAGACCATTGTCTGCTTGATATTTACATAATAATAATAATAATAATATGCCATTTAGCAGACGTTTTTATCCAAAGCGACTTACAGTCATCTCGGGACATATTTATACTTTTGGTTTAATTCAATTCAAATAACTTTGCTGTGGTGATGATTGACACATGACAAAAAAACACTACTGATACAGTCAACGCAAAACCTACAGAGTTTGAATCAGCCTATATACCAGAGGAGGCTGGTGGGAGGAGCTATAGGAGGACTGGCTCATTGTAAAGACTGGAATGGAATAAATGAAACAGAGACAAAAATGTGGTTTTCGTATGTTTGATACTGTTCAATTTATTCCATTCTAGTCTTTACAATGAGCCCATCCTCCTATAGCTCCTCCCACCAGCCTCCTCTGATACATACAGGTATTCCTGGCCTACTCATAGGGCAGCATAGTATGACGTTTACAATGAATAACCTCTCATTATAAGGACATTTAAGGTACTGATGATTCCCTTTGTCTCTGTCCAGGCAACTCTCCAGTGTGGGACAGACAGCAGAGTGTGCCTAATGGAGAAGGAAGCAGAGGGAAAGCCCTGTTCGACTTCACAGCTGAATGTGAAGAGGAGCTCTCACTGAAGGTATTTCTGGCTTCTACTGTCAACATTCGAAAGAGTAAACATTTCTGTTTGTTACAATCAACAGTCATACATACTACAGGTACTAGTCCTTTTCTTTCTCTTGTTATAGGCGGGGGATATCATCACCAACTTGGAGTCCGTTGACGATGAATGGTTCCTGGGAGAGTTGAGGGGGAAGCAAGCGTTGGTGCCTAAGAATTATGTGCAAGTGCTGTCATGAGTAATCTACCCTTAACAAAGACACTGGGGCACTACGGGAACCATTTTGTGTCTGTGGTTTCATCTCAAGTAATGACTTTGAACTATGGAAATATGAGACCCTGAAAGACGATAGGAAACTGAATATTCCAAAGAACCAAAGTGCCTATTTGCCCCACTGGACTGCAGTAGTTCTCTACTTTGAATGCTGAAAAATGGTCCAGTCAATCTCCCACAGAAGGCTATTGGGCGTCTTTTCGAATGCAATATTGTTTTTTTAATAGTATTTATAAATGTGAAAGGATCACTTTATTTGGATAGTCAATCTGTATATGCTTTACAGGTGGTCATACTATCTGCTGATAAGCAACTGCTTGGTAAGGTTTGTTAGGATAAGGGTAGTTACTGATAGTCTGTAGAGCATCTACAGATTGACTATCCAAATAAAGTGTTACCTGTGAAAGTAATAAAATAACTTTGTATGACAATGCATCTATGAGAATGGCTGGCTGTAACTGATAAGTAAATTGAACAGGCATTTAAATGACCCGATGGGTTCATGCCACAAAACCTTTGCCAGCCTTGTTCCAGTCCAGATATGCACGATGTTGACCACACTATTGCACATTAAATATAGCCGGTGTAGTACACTATTTCCTCAAAATATGAATTGGGGTTCTTACAATACTGCATGTATGTAGCCCCTAAAAAAAATAAGCCTTTTCTGGTAATGTATTGTTCTCAAATGCTGAGCTGGTTCATGAAATAAAGATTTGTATTAAGTCTCCTTGACAATGATTTACATCTGTTAACAGGGTCATTCGTAACTTAGTGGAAAAAGTGTCCGAAAAAGGTTGACCCCCAAAAAATGTGGGTGCATAATCCTAACAGGGTGGAAATGTGGATCCTAAAAAACACTTGAACAGGATTTTAGCTTCTCTCAAACATTAAACATTTTGAAATGTGGGTAATTCTCCAAATTAGCCTAACAGGGTCGGTGGAAATGTATGCTCGGGACATACAGAATAACATGAAAAATAGATAACTGAGCGTTTATATTTAGCTTGGCACCATTGTTTTCCAACCAAATAAATGGACACTTCCTGAATGTGGCGTCAATGTAGGAAGGGGTTTTTCTTGAATGGAGAATTATGACAAAGGATGGAACGTGATGAGGGACAAATCTGAAATACAATAAAAGAATTTAAGACAAATTAAAGATGAAATAATTTATGACTTATTTCTAGGAAGTTGAGAACACCGGGGATATGGCAAAAATGCCTACATCCACAAAATTCCCTTTCAAGATATGTGTTTAAGGTAAAGGACACCAGACCTTATTTAAAGCCTTTTGGGATACACATTTTACACCAAGATTTTTCCTGAGGACAGAAAAGACACCACATCGTAGGCCCGACTAATCTCCTTGCGAGAAGTCTGCTTGTTTTTACAGTACCGAAAACCACAATACTAAGGGCTTATATTTTACCTCCATATGGTAGTCAATTACATTATCCTATAATATTGCAATACAATGTAATTGACCCCTTTGAATCTTAATCGTTGAGCATGAGTGCCATGGTAACATCACAGCATAAAATACTACACTGAACAAAAAAATGCAACATGTAAAGTGTTGGTCCCATGTCTCAGTAGCTGAAATAAAGCTGCCTCCGTCTTTTTAGAATTTGGCAGTATGGGGGGTGGGGATTCCTGTCTGTAATAAAGCAGTTTTGTGGGGAAAACAAATTCTAATTGGCTGGGCCTGGCTGCCAAGTGGGTGGGCCTATGCCCTCCCAGGCCCACACCCCTGCAAAGTCATTTCAAATCCATAGATAACAGCCTAATGAGTATTTCAATTTACTGATTTCCTTATAGGAACTCCATAAAATCTTTGAAATTGTTGCGTTTATTTTTGTTCAGTATAAATAGTAACCATAAATGCTTTGTCGGCCTAAAAAGAAAAGCTCTATACAAAATACATTACTAAACAACCATCCCATTAACAGAAGACAACAGTTTGCAGTCTCATTTACATTTTTTATTAAATCTGTCAGAGGGTGTTTAGACGGTCTCCTGGATGGGGGGCTCGTAGCCGTCGGCCCTATCAACCTTCGCCCCGGTGTCGTCCCCTGAGGGCTTGGCTGCACTGCTGCCACCACCCTCACCGTGGAGCTCCATCAGTTTGCCCACTGTAAGGAGACAAGAATAATCTCAGCACAATGCCAGAGTACAATTCAACAGGCTGTTTAGAGAAAACCACATTGGATAAGTCACTTAGGAAAAATTTGTATGCTAGGCTGCATTTACAAAGCCTAATTCTGATCTTTATGCCAATAATTGGTGCAAAATATCAGAATTGGGCTGCCTGTGTAAACACAGCCATAACAGCATATTTTAGGATACCATCATGTCGCAGAGAAGCAAGTGTGGAGTCATCTCGCTGGAATACCATATGATTGCTAGCTCAATATGATTGCTAGCTCAATGTTAAAGGGGACCTTTATTAACCCTGGGTATTTTAGGTTAAGGTTGTATTTTTGGAGGTCCTTCAAATGCATGGTAAGTTTATGACAAAGATCCTGAAGTCTTTATTTTACACAATCCATTGTCTAGTATTGTGCAATCTGTCAGAGCTATGATCACTCCAAGTACCCACCGTTCTAGGTCCTCGGCGTAGACATAACCTTTTCACTCTCCGCCCCTTATGACACAGGCTCGACACATTCAGTCGGACTGCAACGCCTCAAGGGGCAGGATAGGTTTGAGGTTAAAGGTGACTTACACTCAAACTTGGGCTTCTTCAGCATCTTAACCTTCCTGACGTAGACATCGTGGAGGGGGTAGATGGACTGGCAGGCCTTCTCAATGTCCTTGCCAACAGAGTCAGGGATCCTAGAGAACAAAGGGAAAATAAGTGAATCAGTAACAGAAAACCTGGCTTGGCTACTGACTGACAGGCTGAGAGCTCTAGTTAAATTTACTGGCTACCTTCATTGAAAGCCATTCAACTTACTCAGACATTGAAACTTAACTGTCCACAATTTCAGATGCAGTAAAAGTGTTCCGAACTTGCAACAATTTTGTTGCAATAAATAATTTGCTTCATCAAACAGCCAACTAATATGCATGCCCATACATGCTCTCCATGATGCATTTCACATGGACCACATCTTCCCAACAGAGTGCCGAACCAGCATCAGGAGGAAAAGCATCCTTACAGCTTGTTGACGACTTCCTTCAGGTCGTTAGTCTGGACCTCACGGGTCATGATCTCCATCATCTTCTTCCTGATCTGACGGACCTGCTGATGCTGGGCGTACGACGTCTTCCTGATCTGGTTGGTGCGCTTCTTTGTGAAGCCAACGCAGAACAGACGCAGGAGGTAGCCGTCGGTGGTCTTCACGTCCACATGGGCCTCAATCATGGTCTGGCGGTGGGGGGGCAGGATAAAGGTAAATTAATATAGTTTTGGGTACATTGGGCCCAACATGTGATCAATAACATTACAGGGCAGAAGTTAATTCAGTGTTGAGATGACCCATAATGGTATATCACTTTGTGGTGTGACAGTATTAGGGTACAATGTTGAAATTGTGGTTCACATTCCACATGTTCTGAGAAACAAACTATGGCGGAAAGGCAGCGCCTTTCAGCATAAAGTTGCAATGTCACTTTTTGGCCGACCCGACCAAAGTCACATAGAAATGTGAGTTATAGCTCCCATTCTCATTTAAAGCAACAATAAGAAGCGGTAGATCTGTTCTATATTAGTTTTTTCTCTCCTATGCTTCCTGTTAAGTTTTGCATTCTTTACTTTTGTACACCAGCTTCAAACACCTGATTTTTGGTTATGGAAAAGATTTCACAGCAGTTTAGATGGATTCTCTACAAAATGACTGGTTGTTTCGTCACAAACCGAAACTATTTGAATTTTAGCAACCGGGAAATGGCGGAGTGATTTCTACATATTGCACCTTTAATGACAGTATGACCCATATCCATACACGTTGTATTATGATTATAAATGCATATCATCAAAACTACAATCTCCACAAATCCAGCTGTGCTCCATCCTCACCTGCCACTTCTTGACCATGGAGCACATCTTGTCACGGGTCAGGTCCATGCCGTGGAAGTTAGTCAGGCAGTTCTTGCCCTGCACGTCTTCTGAGATCAGCTTGAACTTGCGGAAGGCCACCTCATCGTTCTGCAGGTCAGCAAGGCTCACCTCGAACACACGTCCCTTCAGACCATCGGAGGCGATTCCTAGTAGAACAAACAGTTGGGTTAGTTGATGTGGGACACAGTGAGGGGAATGGAGACCAAGGCAGGGAACAGCGGATATCTTTATCAGTGACCATCATTGGGCCGGAACAATTTGTCATCATGCATTCCCATTGTGTTAAGTATGGTACAAACAAAACGGACAAGATGAGAATTTTAAAAGCGGAAAAACTAAAAAGGGACATTACTGACCAACAAACCCATGTTGAATTTAACTGACATCTTCAGGAGTGTAATAGTTGAACTCCGAGTTGTGAATCGTTCTGGTGTATGCTGACAGAAAATAACCCAATCACAATATAGCCAGCATCACAAAAAGACATCCTAACACACGCATATGTATAATCTCTAGGAACTCTACTTACCAGATGTAGAGTGAAATGTGTTCTATTAAATAAACGTCAGAATTCAACTTTTGTCCGAACAGCACCATATTCCTGCTATGTAAAGTGGTAGATTTTGTGGTAGGAAGTCTTGCATGAAATGTGTGGTCTAATGCCAGCCCGCTGTGGTAGGGTTATTATCAGTCACCATACACCAGAAAGATGCACAACTCAGGGAGTCCAACCAATATATAGACTCCCGAAGTTGTGTCCCATAGCTAGTTGAATTAGGCTACCTAGCTAGCTGGTTACAGTAAAAGGTTAAAAGTTAGCATTCCAGTCACATCACTTTAGTCAACTCCCAGTTTCCAAACTGCGCTATAACTCCACAGAACCATGTGGTTCTGTCTACAGTTAGTTTGTTCCATGCTAGTCTTCAAACTGGTAGCCATCACCACTGAACCATGTGTTGCTCCATTTGTATGTAGGAAAAGCAAACTTACTGGTTCCCTGAGTCCTGGAGACCAATGTCTTGCCAATGTTGCGGATGTTGAACATTGCGGGTGCCTTGACATCATACCAGTCCTTCTTGGAGAATGGGTCGACACTGGGAGATAGAGAAAGTAGGGTGGTCAATATCAGTTCTGTTAATGTCTTTAGTTGCTTTGACGACAGGCCTATGTAGCTAACTGAATAAACTAAGGTTACAGTATTGTTTAGGTGAACCCAAAGGGCTACCTAGCTAAGATAGTATTTGACAATGATTCTGGCATTGGTATGAACGTCAACTTCCAGTACAATCAAACGTGGAAATTCAACGGGCACCTGGATAATCAATAAAACATGACTGGGATAGCAGAGCTAGCTATTAATGTAGGGCCCAGGTAACTGGCTGACTAAATAGCAGAAGCTCAAATCTCATCTGACAAGTGGAGCCTTTTCTCGCTAACGACTGAAGGGTTGGCACCACGCACATGTAGCCCTGGCTGGCTTGGCTACAATTCATTAATATGTTTGACCACACCATTTCGTAGAAAACACTTCCCCTAGCTAACGTTAGCCATACATGAACATAACGTGGACATGTCTGCCATCTTGTTAGCCACCGTAACTACATGAAGTTAGGCAGCTTGCTACACAGCCGATGTTTCTAGATTACAGGCCATTTGTGCATTTCGGCACATTTATATAAATGCTTCACTATATGCAGCCTGTGGAATGACTTTGACCGTCTCTAACATAACAGTTCAGTGTCGCTTATGCACAAACTCTTGTCATCTAATGAACAGACTGCGCGGTGAGCCTAGCAGATTAGCAACGGTGACCGGCCTAAGGGCATCCAGTCAAAATCTACTTCATCCTTCACATTTTCAAATTGAAAGTCACAAACCTGAACTCGATAGTGTGTATTGCATGATTTAATGGATGAATTGCATTACTTACATCTTCTTTTTGGCACCTTTTTTGCCGCCTTTGGTCAGCCTCTTATTCTTGCCGACTGCCATGTTGGCTACAGGGAGTGAAAGAGAAGGAAGTAGGAATTATCGCGAGTGTTAAAGAGACCCGAGCTGAGATTTCTCACATCTCGCGACTCGCGATATGTTGAGACCTCAAAACTAACACGTTGTCGTCATCTACTGGCCTAGCGTGATATCGCAGTCCTTTCTTTGATACGTTGTAACAACATTTGACAAATGCAGGAAGTGTTTGCTACATTGAATGATATATAGTATTGTTATGCTAAAATATTGTTATTTCTATCCTGATCCTACTGTATCCACTTTGCAAGAGCTAATGCAGATCCAAATAAACAAATTAACACACCCACTTTGACAGATAGCTCAGTTCATACACTTACATGAATGATTGACATTCAGTCTGACGCATATTTTGTGGTTTGTATGAAAGGCTGCAAATAAATAAATAATAATATTCTATAATTCATATATTATTTATAATAATATAAATGTATGTTCCAGAATGAATTAATATATGCATAAACATGTAACTGAGTATAAAATAGATACGAGATCAGCCACTCGTTTTTACTAAATCAGCTGTGACAGTGAAATGTGATGCACCAACACTTTCATAAATTCACAAAATTCAACTTACTGTCGCTGTCTGTGGAGAAATGAGCAGTCATATGAGCAGACCCATAATAACTGAAATAACTTCAACAGAAATATTCACTCACATATTCATGATGAAGGAAAGACTATTCACCTGAATTACGCGAAAATAGGGGGTGCAGGTTTTGGTTTTTGCCCTAGCACTACACTGATTATTAAAATAATCAAAGCTTAATGATGAGTTGATTATTTGAATCAGATGTGTAGTGCTAGGGCAAAAAAAACAAAACACGCATCCCGTGGCTTTTGGGAAACACTGACTTAACTATTCACATGTACAGTGCATTCTGAAAGTATTCAGACCCCTTCCCTTTTTCTAAATGTTGTTACGTTACAGCATTATTCTAAAATTGATTAAAAAATAATAATAATCCTCATCAATCTACACACAATACCCCATCATGACAAAGCGAAAACAGGTTTTTAGAAATTTTTGCAAATGTATTACAAATAAAAAACTGTATTCAGACCCTTTGCTATGAGACTTCAAATTGAGCTCAGGTGCATCCTGTTTCCATTGATCATCCTTGAGGTGTTTCTACAACTTGATTGGAGTCCACCTGTGGTAAATTCAATTAATTGGACATGATTTGGAAAGACACACCTGTCTATATAAGGTCCCACAGTTGACAGTGCATGTCAGAGCAAAGACCAAGCCATGAGGTCGAAGGAATTGTCCATAGAGCTCCGAGACAGGATTGTGTCGAGGCACAGATCTGGGGAAGGGTAACAAAACATTTCTGCAGCATTAAAGGACCCAAGAACACAGTGGCCTCCATCATTCTTAAATGGAAGAAGTTTGGAACCACCAAAAGTCTTCCTAGAGCTGGCCACCCGGCCAAACTGAGCAATCGTAGGAGAAGGGCCTTGGTCAGGGAGGTAACCAAGAACCTTATGGTAACTCTGACAGAGTTCCAGAGTTCCTCTGTGGAGATGGGAGAATCTTCCAGAAGGACAACCATCTCTGCAGCACTCCACCAATCAGGCCTTTATGTTAGAGTGGCCAGACGGAAGCCACTCCTCAGTAAAATGCACATGACAGCCCACTTGGAGTTTGCCAAAAGGCACCTAAAGGACTCTCAGACCATGAGAAACAAGATTCTCTGGTCTGATGAAACCAAGATTGAACTATTTTGCCTGAATTCCAAGTGTCACGTCTGGAGGAAACCTGGCACCATCCCTACGGTGAAGCATGGTGGTGGCAGCATCATGCTGTGGGGATGTTTTTCAGCAGCAGGAACTGGGAGACAAGTCAGGATCGAGGGAAAGATGAACGGAGCAAAGTACAGAGAGATCCTTGATGAAAACCTGCTCCAGAGCGCTCAGGACCTCCGACTGGGGCGAAGGTTTACCTTCCAACAGGACAACGACCCTAAGCACACAGCCAAGACAACGCAAGACTGGCTTCGGGACAAGTCTCTGAATGTCCTTGAGTGGCCCAGCCAGAGCCCAGACTTGAACCTGATCGAACATCTCTGGAGAGACCTGAAAATAGCTGTGCAGCAACACTCCCCATCCAACCTGACAGAGCTTGAGAGGATCTGCAGAGAAGAATGGGAGAAACTCCCCAAATACAGGTGTGCCAAGCTTGTAGTGTCATACCCAAGAAGTCTCGAGGATGTAATCGCTGGCAAAGGTGCTTCAACAAAGTACTTAGTGAAGGGTCTGAATACTTATGTAAATGTGATATTTCAGGTTTATTTTATTTTATAAATGTGCCAAAAAATCTAAAAACCTGTTTTTGCTTTGTCATTATGAGGTATTGTGTGTAGATTGATGAGGTAAATAACAATTTAATCGTTTTAGAATAAGGCTGTAATGTGGAAAAAGTCAAGGGGTCTGAATACTTTCCGAATGCACTGTATATTATTATGTTAAACGATATGTTATATGCATGTTATTATGTTAAACTATATGTTAATATGTTCAACTATATGTTATATGCATGTTATTATGTTAAACTATATGTTATATGCATGTTATTATGTTAAACTATAGACTCCCTGCAGACCTGTCATCTTTTCACTCCCTCCTCTCTACATTCTCTTCCTCTGTTTCCGCTGCTAAAGCCACTTTCTACCTCTTTTTAAATTTCAAGCCTCTGCCTCTAACCCTAGGACGCTCTTTGCCACCTTCTCCTCCCTGCTGAATCCTCCTCCCCCTCCCTCCTCCCTCTCTGTGGATGACTTCGTCAACCATTTTGAAAAGAAGGTTGACGACATCCGATCCTCATTTATTAAGTCAAATGACACTGCTGGTCCTGCTCACACTGCCCTACCCTATGCTTTGACTTCTTTCTCCCCTCTCTCTCCAGATGAAATCTTGCGACTTGTGATGGCCGGCCGCCAAACAACCTGCCCGCATGACCCTATCCCCTCCTCTCTTCTCCAGACCATTTCCGGAAACCTTCTCCCTTACCTTACCTCGCTCATCAACTCATCCTTGACCGCTGGCCATGTCCCTTCCGTCTTCAAGAGAGCGACAGTTGCACCCCTCCTCAAAAAACCTACACTCGATCCCTCCGATGTCAACAACTACAGACCAGTATCCCTTCTTTCTTTTCTCTCCAAAACTAATGAGCGTGCCGTCTCTAGCCAACTCTCCTGCTATCTCTCTCAGAATTACCTTCTTGATCCAAACCAGTCAGGTTTCAAGACTGGTCATTCAACTTCTCTGTGTCACGGAGGCTCTCCGCACTGCTAAAGCTAACTCTCTCTCCTCTGCTCTTATCCTTCTAGACCTATCCGCTGCCTTTGATACTTTGAACCATCAGATCCTCCTCTCCACCCTCTCCGAGTTGGGCATCTCCGGCGCTGCTCACTCTTGGATTGCGTCCTACCTGACAGGTCGCTCCTACCAGGTGGCGTGGCGAGAATCTGTCTCCGCACCACGTGCTCTCACCACTGGTGTCCCCCAGGGCTCAGTTCTAGGCCCTCTCCTATTCTCTCTATACACCAAGTCACTTGGCTCTGTCATATCCTCACATGGCCTCTCCTATCATTGCTACGCAGACGACACACAATTAATTTTCTCCTTTCCCCCTTCTGATAACCAGGTGGCGAATCGCATCTCTGCATGTCTTGCAGACATACCAGTGTGGATGTTGGATCACCACCTCAAGCTGAACCTCGGCAAGACGGAGCTGCTCTTCCTCCCGGGGAATGACTGCCCGCTCCATGATCTCGCCATCACGGTTGACAACGCCATTGTGTCCTCCTCCCAGAGTGCAAAGAACCTTGGCGTGACCCTGGACAACAACCTGTCGTTCTCCGCTAACATCAAAGCGGTGACCAGATCCTGCAGGTTCATGCTCTATAACATTCGCAGAGTACAACCCTACCTTACACAGAACGCGGCACAGGTCCTAATCCAGGCACTTGTCATCTCCCGTCTGGATTACTGCAACTCGCTGTTGGCTGGGCTCCCTGCCTGTGCCATTAAACCCCTACAACGTACCCAGAACGCTGCAGCCCGTCTGGTGTTCAACCTTCCCATGTTCTCTCATGTCACCCCGCTCCTCCGCACACGCCACTGGCTTGCAGTTGAGGCTCACATCTACTACAAGACCATGGTGCTTGCCTACGGAGCTGTGAGGGGAACGGCACCTCCTTACCTTCAGGCTCTGATCAGACCCTACACCCAAACGAGGGCACTACGTTCATCCACCTCTGGCCTGCTAGCTCCCCTACCTCTACGGAAGCACAGTTCCCGCTCAGCCCAGTCAAACCTATTCGCTGCTCTGGCACCCCAATGGTGGAACAAGCTTCTCCACGACGCCAGGACAGTGGAGTCACTGACCACCTTCCGGAGACACTTGAAACCCTACCTCTTTAAGGAATAACTTGAATAGTATAAAGTAATCCTTCTTCCCCCACCCCCCATAAAAAAATGATGGAAATGGAAATGTAATGCATGTTATTATGTTAAACTATATGCTTTTATGTTAAACGATATGTTATATGCATGTTATTATGTTAAACTATATGTTATATGCATGTTATTGTGTTAAACTATATCTTATATGCATGTTATTATGTTAAAATATATGTTATATGGATGTTATTATGTTAAACTATATCTTATATGCATGTTATTATGTTAAACTATATATGCATGTGTATTACTCAGTACTCTGTACTGAACTACACTATTCAGTCAGCCAAGTACACTGTGTGACAGTCAGTCCTAACATGCTGTATTATTGAACCAACAGGTGAACATTTAATGAAGAAAACCGGTTGAACCTGAAAGTCAAACCATTAACATTCCATGTAGGTGTGTCTTGCCTCCTCCCGTTATTAGGACACTGATACAACGGTGTCAGTACAGGGTTAGGGATGATGCCTAGATGGGCTGAGCCTGTTGACAATGTAAACTTGGACATACATTCATTCTAGACCTACATT